ATGGATTCTGCTGTCTACCAACAAGTAAAGGGAAGACAAATGTACAAAATAACTATGAAATCAGGATGGGTGCAAATACTTTTAGAGTGTAGCATGATATTTAAATGTAGTGAGATAATTTTCTAAGTTGTTTTTATTCTGTTTGTGTTTAGATGAGACAAATTCTCCCCTCAAACCATATGAATTTAAAATGGAGCAGATTGAAGGCTTCAGGTACAGATGCCGGGTGAGTATCCTCCTCCTCCTTTTGGAAGCTCAATTTAATTCCAAAAATGGCAAATTCCTCAACATTTGCTGATTGTTGGCATTAGTTGAGTCTATGGCTGAACAACAAATGGAAAAAACAAACAAACTTATAATCATTTTTTCATATCAGCACAAGCCAGTATACTCTGTGCCAGTCCCTTCACCCTTGTAAATGGGGAGAGTTCCATCAGGAAGGGCATTTGGTGTAAAATCTTGGACAAATCAAACATACTGATCATTAAAAAAAAAAAGATTTCCGTACCGATTGGTCAGGTTTTGACTCAACAATGACCACCTGACCAAGAAATAGGAAAGGGGGAAGACATGTTAGGAGCAACAAGAGCGAAGGAAAGGCAGGAGAAGGAGGCAGAGAATGAAGAGCGGAAAGATTTTTGGCTCAGTTGGAGGAGGGAGATGTGTGGGAGAGACAGCAGTGGACCTTCTGACCAAACGGTTTTAAAAATACAGAAAAATGCTAGAAATAAAGATGGTGATGAGTTCCTTGGTTGTTCATCGTTTGACCTTTGGACTGTGTCTGTTGAGTTGTCTTGTGTAGTAATGCCATCAGCTGAGTTTTCGAGCACATGATTGATTTGGTCCAGTGCTATTCTCATTGTGCCCTTTGTGTTGTCTGTCAAATTTCAAGTTCTACTTTATGTTGACCATTTCTCATATTTCTTTTGATGGAAAGACGAGGAAAGATAACCGTTTTTATCGTTTTATCGCCAAGTCCTAGCCCTTTTTAAGTGTAATGTAAGGGGAATTGATTGTTTTTAGTTTTTCTTTAGGACGCAATGCGCTCAGTGACAAAGCAGGCAGTGAAGGAGGCCAGACTAAAAGAGATCAAACAGGAGCTGCTCAATTCAGAAAAACTTAAGGTGAGAGATGATTTTTTTTTTCTAAAGACAGAGGAAGGCAGAAGTGTTTGAACACGTTTTGATTGTATGCTTGTGCTCTCACTCAGACATACTTTGAGGACAACCCCAGAGATCTGCAGCTACTCCGGCATGACAAAGACCTCCATCCTGCTGTTGTCAAACCTCACCTTAAGAATGTACCTGAGTATCTCAGTAAGTGTCTGATTATATATGAACGTCACCCTAACCAAAATTTTCCATTAAGATATTTTTCCTGTTTATAATGTATATTGTTTATGCTAAAAAATATTGATCTTCTACTTCCATGATGCCATGTAGGTCTTTGCTAGTAAGCAGTGATTTGTGTGAAATAATTATTTTTTTGTTGTTGAAAGTTTGACTTTAAATACAATACTGAAAGAAACTATTACCCATGGGCACATCACATAGGACAATTATGTTTACATAGTGTTATTTGGATAATTTCTTCTAAAATTCTGTTAGTTCATTTTTTATTGTGAAAAATGTAATTGGGCGAGATAACTGAAAGTTGGAGTTAAGTTACAGTAGCATATTTTCAGAGCTTACAGAGCTTAAGTTACAGAGTGTAAAATTTCACCACTAGATTGCAAATTTCAGTCAAGTCGAGTTCTGTTTTCTTATGCCTCCCAATTCAGTTCAATAATCCTAGCCATAATGGTTGCTGTAGGACAAAAAATTGTCAATCAGCTGTCAATATGTGGTCACATCTATTTACGCCGAAAGAATTCGATACGAATCCACGAGTCAGTCTGACAGTGATACTGAGTTGCTGAAGAGGTCTAAACTTTTCTGTCAGTAAGTGCTTCTGTTTGTCCTGCTGTTAGTCATTGTTTGTAAAACTTTCTTTGAAGTAGATCTGAGATTATTGGACTGTGCGACACTTAGTGAATAAACTGTCATATAATGTGAATGAGCAAACTATTCATCAGAGCAGAAAGTACATTTTTCAGGAAACTGGAACCTAACATTAGCTGGTATATTGCTAGCATATAATCAGCTGTTGTTAACTTGCTTGTTGTTAGCTGTCCGGAGGTGGGATGGTCACATGTCTAATTTGCTTGACCATAAGCATTTGCGACAATGTCAGGAATAAATAAGAATGTTTACATATGTTTTTGTATGTTAGAGGCCTGACTAAAGACTTCAGATGAGGAATGAGGTGTAAAGATGGCGTCTTATAATGATGCCTGTTGTGTTGTCTCTTCCCTTTGCATTTTTGCTTCTTTGGTGGCGACAGCTTCTCAAATGAGAAAAATATAAGAATGATCCTTCATATGTTGAATGTGAAAGTCCACAGACAAATTAAAATTTGTCTCAGTGGCATGCAAATGCCTACGAGTTTCTTCTCTTCTGCCTTTGGTGTACTGCACATGTGGATCCTTCTCTGTCCACATACATAAAACACAGTTAATGCAAAATGGCAATGACCTACTCAGCCACTGTGTTCAAGATGGCAGGGCAAACATGGTGGCTTTCTACTCCTAAGTATGTTTCATGGATTAATTTATTTTATAAGGATGCATCAATTTGCTGGAAGATCTAATTACAATGTATCAATGTATATTTGAGTATGCAATTTTATTTCATTTTCATTTCACTTTCCTGCAGTTCCTGAGGCACTGAAGGGCGTGGTACATCCACTGACAAGCAGAAGAAGGCGGAGAAAAGAGATACAGAGACCAGAAGGAGTCATCAAGAGCAGTTTTAAGGTGAGATTTGGTCGGAAGGGACACCAGGTCTTTGATACACTACAGATCTGTGTAATAGTTTGAATTCTGTTCCAGGTTTCACCTTCTTGTCATATTTTTTGTCATGTATTTTCTGTTTCACTGTGAAAACAAACTGTATATCTATTAGATTTTAGTTAAATAAAATCAGGCAATTTGAGTTGTGAGCGTTTGTACTATTTTCTTACTTCTAAATTTCAGTTCACTTTTACTTATAATGTACCAAATGAGAACAGTTGCTTCAAGGCATTTTATATTGTAAGGCAAACACCCTATAATAGTACAGAAGAAAACCCCAACAGTCGAACGACCCCCTGTGTGCAAACACTTGGTGACACTGGGAAGAAGGAGCTTCCTTTTAATAGGAAGAAACCTCTAACAGAAACAGGGAGGGGCAGACATCTACTGCAGCTGGCAGGATAAAAGACACAATCTGATAATAATGAATTATAATAGTCTAGCCTAGATGTAATAAATGCATGAACTAGTTTTGAGCATCACTTTTAGATGGCACGTTTTATCAATTTTATTTATATTGATATTAGTGAGATGCGATTTTATACCTTTTACAAAGCTCACAATATAAAATGTATATTAAAACAAAAATGTCCAGTTAGTTTGATGAAATCACCCCCTTGTTCTGAGCTAATGTGTTCCCTTTTGGTTTTGGTAGAAGAACATCCGGGGGAAGAACCCACTGAAGAGTTTCCAGTACACTGGAGGAAAAAACAGAAAAGGCAAAGCGAGCCAGTCATAGCCGTTGGAACACACCTGAATGCGTTTGAGTTGCAAATGTTATTACACTCATACACCAGTCTATTATATCTCATTAGCAATATCTGTTTTATTTGATCCATTGAATAATTAACTGTATACACAGTACATTTGTTCTGTATAGTTACACATGTTGGAATAAATTTTCTGTCAAACCTCTGTTGTGCTTCTTGGGGCTTAAGTTTGCAAAGTTGTTTACGTGTAATTCGATGAGCATTAGCATGCTGATGTTTGCAAAATGACACCTAAAACAAAGGTTGGTAAAGTTTAGAAAACTTTAGTTTCACTGAGTGAAATTCTACTACTTTGTTACTTGGCAGTAATTTGGTCTGTCTTTCTGACTTCTCTCTTTTCTCTGTGTATTTGACTCATAAGCCCAGAGGCTAAAACTGAGGTTTCTAACCTTTTAGGCCTAGAATCTAAGTCCTTAGTAGTTGTTAATTTTGATCTGAAAATGCTTTTAGGTTAAAAGTATGGTTTATTTAAACTCTAAAGTTCATGGAGGGTAAGGCTCTTGAGTGGGTCAATCTAATACTCCATAGGATTATAAGTAACTTGTAAACCAGCTATTTTAGAAAATTTGGGAGTTTGGCATGAGAACCCGATATTTGGGCCTGTTGCTAAAGTGAAGATTTTAAAAGAAAACTTCAAGCAGTCAGTGGCAAAATTGGGTCTGGGTGGTCGCTTCATCTGCCAAAACGATCACTCTTAGTGTAGAACTACATCCAGATGAGCCAAAGTAAATGACTGGCCTGCACAAAGCCCTGAATTGAATCCTATTAATATTCTGTAAAACTGAAGACCAAGGTCCATGCCAGACGACTATTAAATCTGAAGGAGTTTCAGTGATTTGCCAAAAGAAAAGGATACGCAATTGAATATTTGCATTAGGGAGGTCATAATTTTGACCGCGGTTGTTTCGTGAAATAATTTTCTTTCTGTGTGTAAGGTAAAATAGTGTAAGCATCCAAAATGACACGACTATGGGAAAATGCCATGCTGTTTAACAGCTCTTGGAAAATGCATTTAAAAATCATAAGGGGGTTAATAATTCTATTGTTACTTTGACAAGAAAGTCAAAAAAGTCAGGATTATGACTTTAATCTCAGAATTCTGTGGAGAAATGTCCCCACTTTTGTTTTTTCTCTAGTGGCCTAAATCCTCTTTCCTATCACATCCTACGCACAGCAGTGATGTGCGCACATCATGTTGGGGGTTTAAGACAAATTTCATGCTGCCATCTTTGTGCAGATCCACAATTATAAGCTGCCTTCAAGATCAGCCATTAAGCTAATTTTAATGTTTGTCAGCTGTTATCAGAGAGTGAGAATGTGAGCAAGAGGGATGCTGCTGTATTTTTAGACATCTGTATGCACAGGAAGCTTTTTGGAAGAAATTTGGGTATAAATGATCACTGTTTATTCAGGTTTGGATGTTTGTGTTTGTACAACTATTTTATGATTAGTCAGTTTGTTTAGTATTTGTGTGTGGATTGGAGCATTGTGAGACCTCAAAAGTTACACACAAATCACCACACACATTTGCAAATCTTACTCTAGGCTTGTCATCAATCATGTTACATTTGTAACACTTTTGAGGCAAATTTCTCTCAAAATCTCTCACCAATTCCGTTTACAATGCAGCTTACAAATGAAGCTTGCTGGTGACTTCAGTAACAGTAAGAGTAAGGTTTCTATGTTTTCTACTCCTCTACATCATAATTGTTGCTCAAGGTAATTAATAAGAGAAAACCTGTTCATATCTTAGAGTATTTTGCTAATTTTAGCTCTATTTTCTATGTCTTATCTATTTTTGCATATGTATGTAGTAATGGTAACTGATCTTGGAGCAGTAAAAGCCAAGTCAGGGGTAGCTTGTCTGGCACTCTGGTCTCCCATCAATGACAGGAGGTTTATTTATAAAAAAAAAAAACAACAAGCAAAACGTCCGCTGCCCTCAACACTGGCAAGCTCCAACTTTTGTTAATGGGAAATGGACATGCCCATGAAAATGACAGAAACCCACAGATTCTCGGGTCTTGGAGTCAAGCTAGCTACCGGACAGCAGTCAAACTTCCGCCAAAAGACAGAGTTTACAAGATGAATGGAAACAAGCAATGTTTACATTTTGTTAATTGGGCGACCGTGGTTCGCGTGGTTGGGAAGGTCTTGTAACCGGAAGGTTGCCGGTTCGATCGGTGTGTCCTGGTCGTTGTGTCCTTGGGCAAGACAATTCACCCTACCGCCTACTGGTGTTGACCACAGGGGCCGATGGTGCGATATGGCAGCCTCGCTTCTGTCAGTCTGCCCCAGGACAGCTGTGGCTACAACTATGTTTTGCCAGTGTGTGAATGTGAGAGTAATAAATAATAATAAATTTTATTTATAAAGCACACTTAAAAACCAAGGGTATGCCAAGGTGCTTAACAAGTAACAGAGAATAAAAGGAAGATAATAGAAAGATAATAGAGGAAGAGTGAATGAATAATTGTAAAGCGCATTGAGTGTCTAGAAAAGCACTATATAAATGCAATCCAAGGCCATTTACCATTACATAAATAACTACATCTACATCTGTGGCACATTCCCTCATGAGTGAACTGTTACGGACCTTCTTTGAACTATAAATAAATACACAGACTATAGTAATTTAGAAAATAACGTCATTTTAATGCAATGCATTCAGCAGTACAATAAATCAGTTTAGTTGAAGCCAGAAATGATTCTATGAAGCCATTAAAAAAATGAAGACAGACCTAATCCTGTCTCACTGAACATACTGTATGTTTAATTTAACATAGAGCTAATTAAACATGTGCTGTGTAGTCTTTGCTCAGCAGAGACTTCAATTTCTTCTTTATATCTCTCCAAGAAATATTTGTTCCCAAGAATGTAACCCTCAATACACAATGCTGCCAACAAGTCTTATTTTGTCCAAGCTAAATCATTAAAGATGTTTTTTTGTGGGGTTTTTTTGTTTTGTTTTAAAGCTGTGATCTTGCAGCAGATTTGGTTAGTAAGGACTTTCTATAAGATAGATCTGGGTTTGTGTGTGCAGTAATCAGTCTATAGTGTATTCAAAAGGATAGTCCTGTGTGGGCACTGAGTCAAAGACAACACTATCAAATGGGTTTTCAGTGGACCATTCATCCACAGGAAACCAAGAGTCATACCATGAGGTTGTTCTCTTGGTTTCAGGTGGTAGAGTGGTGGATGCTGTGGTGGTGGTTGTTGTCATTGTAGTCGCAGGGGTGGTTCTAAGGCTGGCTTGTAACCTCTGCAAACGCAGTCTCCGTATACGCATCAGTCGGAGCCGTCTACGTCGCGCAATGTCGTGAGTGTTGGCGGGATTTTCAGGCTCTGCATCAATGCTGGGGGCTGCCACAGTACTGCTGGCTGCAGTTGTTTTCACTACATTCGCTTTGGTGATGAGTCGAATGGGTCTTTTGCCGTGGAGTGCCATGATTTGCTTGATGCGATCCCAGTTGGATTTGGTTAAGGTGAAACTGCAGGGTGTTGCTCCGGAGTCATAGCCCACCATGCAGAGCCGTGTCTGAGGGGTGTAGCCATCAGCTTTGGCTGTTACCTTGTACTCCCCAGGATTTAGCAGTCGCCAGTAATCCCCGCCCACAGCTATACAATGGTTACATTAAAAAGGTCATGTTAAAAAATGCTGTAAACGAATGACTGGATCTTCATGATCTGAAACACTATATAAAATAGTTTACCAGTTTTAACATCATGCCGTATCCCCTCAACAGATATTGTCACGTTGGGAAGTGGATTTCCATCTATATCCCTCACAATACCCTTTATTCCGCGATGTACCTGCACAAGAAAAGTACATCCCAGTGAATCTTAAGGAAATTTCACATGTAGAAAATTGCAGACATATTAATTTCCACGTTTGTCAATGACATATCAAAGCTGCTATGTACAACACTTTTCGTGACAAAAGCTTGCGTTCAGCTAGCACTAAAGCAGTTAAGCAACTGACATGAAAATATAATTTTTAACTAAATATATTGAAATAAAATTCTCACTTGTTCAATAAAGGACAACAAAGCCTCGCGGTTGTTCTCCCACTCAAGAGGCAATTCACTCTCATGGGGAAACTTATCACAGCCCAAGAAGATGGAGAGCTCGAAGCAGTTTGTGTGCAGGTAGCTGAAGTCATTCATACCTGTGGAGGAGATTGTGTTTTAGAGGAAATTTACTCCTTCAGTTATAATATCATCTGGCTATTTAGATGATTTTATTTGTCCATTTTTGGAGAAAGAAGTAAGGCCTGACTTACAATGTTACCTATTTTATTGTCCTTCTGCACTAAAAATGGTATCTATAAGCTATGAGTTGATGGAACCGAGGGTTG